GCTAGGAAAACAAACAGATTCATCTTGGAGAGGATTAAACCAAGCTACTCCTTGGAGGCAAGGATTTTGGGGCTTCGTCTGACATACTTTGGACATGTTGCCAGGAGGGACGGGTCCTTGGAGAGGGACATCATGCTTGGGGGGGGTAGAGGGAAGGCGCAGGAGGGGAAGACCTTCTGTGAGATGGATTGATTCGGTGGCTGGGGTAATCGGGATGGGTGTGTCAGAGGCAGTGCGGTTGGTGCAGGATAAAGCAGGGTTTAGGGCTGTTGTGCATAGGGTCGCTATGAGTCGCAAACGACTCGACGGCACATAACAACAATCTGTGCCATGAAGCTCCTTGATACCAGAGAAGGTCATATGGAGGTCTCTAGGGAAGGCAGAGCCTACACATGATGAAGGATACAAGATCTTTCCTTCAACACACACACAGACACACACACACAGCTTTCCCAAGAGCTAGCATCTTGACTAATCTCCTAAACCATAAGACAATAATCCTATATGTGAAAACCATCCCTATGTGGTTGTATCTGTTATAGTTGTTGTCTACTCTCAAGATGAAATTGACTCATCGCTGGCCCTCTAGTAGAGGTAGTTGATCTCATGGGAGGAGACCGCCTGTCTTCCTCCTTCAGAGCAGCTGGTGATTCGAACCACATGCCTTTGAAATTGCAGTACAAATTCTTACCACTAGCCACCAGAGCTCCCTATCCTGTCATAGGAGTAAGACAAATGCTGAGGAAGGAGTATGGGGAAAACGGAAAGGACAGGTTCCTAGTCTCTCACAGATGACTAAATAACTCATAGACAAAAGAAGAGCGAAAATAGAGAAAAAAAAGGAAAAATGAGAAGGAAAGTGACAAGTGGTAACTAAAATGGAATCAATGCTATTTTCCAAGAGGAAAAGCTGCAAAATTCAATAAAGCAGAAGGGAACTACTGCTTCACTATCTCTAGGGGCTGTCATTAGTGGGGGTTTTATAAACAACCCATTAAAACAGAGACCTCCTCTGTGACAGTTCTGTATTATTCAGTCTGTCTTCACATAATATACAAGTAAATAAAGAATGGTCAATAAGAACTGATGTAGCAGGAACACAGTCAGAAAGCTAAAATCTATCCTTCCTTAACTTTTTTTGCTACCTGAAAAGCACATATGACATTAAGATTAAGGGTGACAGAGCTGATTTCTCTAAGGGCCCAACTAACCTGTGGCTGGGCAGGCGATGGGGCATCAGGATGCTGAATGAGGATCTGGCTTTGCTCTGGACGGGCTGTCACCATGGTGCTGGCAGTACCCACCACCATTCCACAGCCACCATTGATTGAGGAGACTTGGGTTAGAGTGGCTTTTAATCTCTGTGAAGGAAAGAAAAGGAAACATAGTTTGTCAAGAGTAAGAATCTCTTGGTGTGGAACAACTATTCAGGCAGGAACCCAAACAAAACTGTCTGTCAAGGGTGAGAAGAGAGGACTTAGATTTTATGATGACCTTACAAATAGTTAAAATTTGCACACCAATTTTCTCTTAAAAGAAAATGGCAGGGAGTGAGAATGTGCACCTGGATCCCTAAAATGCATACTCTGTTCCTTGGCTATAATCCTGGGCACAGTTGGGGCAGTGGTGGTGTTGAAGCAATAGAATCCAGATGAAAGCTCTCTCTTGGAAACTGGCCAAGTACTGGTTACACAGCTATTCACCTCTTGGCCAGCTCCCCTGCCTGCCCACCCACCCTCCATCTGTCACCTTGGAACTCAAACTGCAAATGTTCCAATCCAAACAATCTGTGCTGTCTCTCTTCACTGCCATATCTACGTACCAGGCTCTTAAAGTAGGAGAAGGAGGATGGAGTCATGAACCAGCGTCGGTTCCCTTGCTCAGCTCACCTGAAAAATCTATTTTAATTCTTCTTTCAGAAGGACAAACACTACCCAAGGCTGGGATATACTTACCATTTTGGCTTCTGATGGCATTGGGTGGCCAGAGGGAGAAACAGAACCACTGCTGTTAAGTGGTGGGCCAGGGATACCAGGAATGTTGGGTACCATGGACACAGGTCTGGCCAGCTAGATCAAGGGAGAGAGAATCCAAACAGGAACATAATATGACTGGTCGGGGGACAGCTTTCCAAAATGAAGAGTTTGTGAGACTGGCATGTCAGGGTCTGTTCTGTGCAATCTGTTTCTGGGAGTATACTGAGACAATATGGGAATTACCTCCCTCACGGAGCACCCCAGGGTGGGGAATCTAATCCGTCAGGGCTCTGACAGTTTTTATGAGAATGGCTTTGGCTCTATCTTTAGGAACACGATACGCAAATTGAGAGGTATTGAGTTTCAAGTGAATCAACCAATCAGTGGACTTACAAGATCAATTTCTAGAACAGGAGCTAATTAGTTAGAACAGATGACATTTTGTCTAGTGTTCTATATTGCCAGATTAGCAAAAAATTTTGGAAGTATGTCATATTCAATTAATATTGATTAGGATCCACATTTCCCTAGGGTACATGAGTGCTTAAGAACATTCAGGAACAAGGTTAGGATTTGTGTGTGGTAGGGTGGCCTCTACCAGTTACAGAGCTTACCGATATAACAGAAGGCATTTGTACTGGTGGCCCTGGCAGTACAGGCATGGTCTGTCCATTAGCAAGATGCATGACGAGAGGGAGGGAGCCAGTGGGAGACCTTGAGAAGACATGAAGTGAAATGTTAATACAGACTATTTTTCCTATAGATCTACCGACTGTAGCAGATTTTCCAACCTTTTCTAGTTAGGAAAAGTATAAAGGCAGCATTGTGACAATGCAAATTTGATATTCTCATAAAAGTGACAAAAGCAAGGAACACTACTTATTTTACTTTATAGGTGAAAAAAGAATGGCTAGATCTTTATACTTTGCAAGTTAAGAAATACCACGTAGTAGTGGCAGAGTCTACATGGAGTTGTGCTACAAACCCCAAAACCATACTTCTCTGGTGGTTTAAATCCACAAGCCTCTCTAATAGGAGTAACTGCCTCCCATGAAATTTACTGCCTCAAAAACCCAATGGAGGGTTCAGCAATGAGTTGGTTCTGACTGACAGCAATGAGTAAGTATGTCTAAGGCTAATCACACTTAGAATTTAGAATAATTAAATAAATATCCCTATTAATGGCATAGGGAGCTCTGATGGCTTAGTTGTAAAATTATGCTGCAAAAGTACAAAATTCGAATCCACTAGCTGCTCTGCAGAGAAAAATGGGTAGTCTCTTCTGTGATTTACTGCCTCTGAAAACCAGATCCAAAAAGAGGACTTAATGAGTTGCAGCCCCCCAATCAATAGTGCAAAAAAATACATCTATATGAGTGAGACTAAGAACTAAATATACTTATGAGGCCTCCACCATTATGACTTTTCTAAAATTATATTCTTCTTTTAACATAAAAAAATAGTATTAAGCCTCAAATTAAGGAAATATTACTATCAAATAAATACTTAATTATTTAACAAAAAGTTTAAGGAAATTCTATCTATGAGAGAAAGTAAAATGATTTTCAGAGACAGTGTCTCACTGAGTCCTTTCCCTCCAGGCATTTAGAAGTTTCAACACTTGTTTTATTAAATAGTTTCACGAAGGAGATTCAGGCTTCACTGTTTCTCCCTCTTTTCTTTACTTACCCCAGCTGCCTGTTGGATGGTGGAGCCTGGGTTATGACGGAGGTTGGGGAGGGAAGGGTTGGGTGAAGTGGATCATAGCCCAAGTGGAGAGGCAGGGAGCCAGGGCGGACGATGGTAGGTGTTGGGGTTGAGATCACAACAGGCTTTGGGACAACCTCCTAGGGGAGAACAGACCAATAAATCACACACAGCTTTATGGGGATGCTTGCAGAGTTAATAAAATCAAGTAGAAATTTAATGGAAAGAGCACTAAAGGAACTCATGTAAATCATGATCACACAGACCTATATATATATACCTCACTTACCCAATCAGGAGGAATTGTAGTTTAATCAGAACTGATTACTGAGTAAGATTACAGCTAGCAAAGAACTTGAAATCTTGGAGAAACACTATTGTTCCTGGAAGGTGCTGTCATGTCAACTACAACTCATGGCAACCTTATGAACAGCAGATCAAAACCCTGTCTTATTCCTGTAGTACTACAGAGATTCTAGAGACTGCTCTAATTTTCTTCAATCTAGATGTTCTCACCTATAACTTGACTCCTGACTGTTTGCTGATTTGCAGTGTAAAAAAGGCAGGTATAATGGTGATAATTCAAAAATTAAAAAAAGGAAGGTTTTTGCAGTTAGAATAATTAAGTTTGAATAATGATTATAATAAAAGAGTGTTTTCCATTGCTAATTTTTTTATATTGCTAGTGGCCATTATTAGGCCCGAATGCGACCCCAGACACTCTAGGAACTAGTTGCTAGTAAAAAGGGGAGGTAATAAATGAGATGTTTGTAATGTTTAAGGAGTGGATAGCTTTGAGACAAGTTATCAAACCAAATCTGCAGTAAAGGGAGATGAAGTACTATCCATAAAAGTCAGTCACAGAGGAGTTAAAATTGAAAGGGGGCATGAGGGAGCTTTTGAGAATATTTGGGTTTTTGTTGGTTTTTTCCCCCTCCTCCTTGTTGTGTACCGTCAAGTCAGATCCGACTGGAACAGGAGGAGATTGCCCCTCCTTCTCCAGCAGAGCATCCGCTTGATCCACATGCCTTCGGGACTGCAACACAGCTCCTTGCCACTAGGCCACCAGAGCTCCCTTACAATATTTGGTTTTTGATCTGGCTGCTGGTTACAAAGGCGTAACTGATTAGCTGGTTAATTTTGTGAAAATGAGCTGTATGCATACAATTAAGGTGCTTTTCTACATATGTACTATATTTTAATAATAGTTCATAAAGTTTCCTTTAAAAATAATAACAATAAGAATCTTGGTAGATAGTTCATTTGACTCATCAGAACATGTCTAGAGACAGACATATTTACTTTACTGTTTAATATTTAACATGATTATACAACTTTTTCACTTTTTACAACTGTACATTTTTTAATTTTATTTTTCATTTACTAATTTATACAGATTAATCCTCCTTTTCATTCCATAATGTATAACCTGTTCCAGATTGTTACTTGAATAATCTTTTTCACTTTTTAATTGAGGTCTAATATACAAACAGAGCAAGGAAACACCGTATGGTTCAAAATCAGGAGAGGAGTGTGTCAGGGATGCATTCGGTCTCCATATCTTTTTTTTTAAACAAAAAAGACATTTTAAGGATTATATGAGATAAAGCATGCACAGTATTTTAGCAAGGCTCTCCATATCTTTTTTTTTAAATTTTTTTTTAGAGTGTGTGTGTGTGTGTGTGTGTGTGTACCGTCAAATCAGATCTGACTGGTACAGGAAGAGATTGCGCCTCCTTCCTCGGCAGAGCATCTGGTGGATTCAAACCGTGCGCCTCTGGGATTGCAGTGCAGCTTCTTGCCACTAGGCCACCAGAGTTCCCCAATCTTTTCAATCTTTATGCAGATCAGATCATTCAGGGAATAGGGCTTACTGAGGAGGAATGTGGCATCAGAATTGGAGGTAGACCATCAACAACCTACATTACACAGATGACACAAATCTTGCTTGCTTGCTGAAACAGAGGAGGACCTGAAGAACTTGCTTCAGAAGGTCAACAACTGTAGTCTTCAATATGGATCGAAGCTTAATATCAAGAAGACAAAGATTCTCATGCCTGGGTCGATGGGTAGCACCATGATGAATGGAGAAGAGATTGATGCTAACAATTACAGCTTGCTTGGCTCCAAAATCAACACTCTGGGCACCAGCAGCCAGGATATCTAAAGACGAACTGCACTGCAAAAATCTGCTGTTAAGAGACCTCTTCAAAGTACTGAAAAGCAACAATTTTATGCAGAGACTAAAGTGTGCTTAATACAGGCCATGGCAATGCAGAGAACTGGACAATGACTAAGGATGGTAGAAGAATAATTGATGCCTTTGAGTTGTGGTGCTGGAACTTGAACATACCACTGACTACCAAGAAAACAAACAGGTCTGTCTTGGAGAGGATGCAACCAGGTCTGTCCTTAGAGGATACGATTTTGAAGCTCTTGAGCACGTGGCTAGTTCTGTCTCACATACTTTGGGCATATAGCCAGGAGGGATAAGTCCTTGGAGAAGGACATACTTGGGAGGGTGGAGGGACAGTGCATGAGAGGAAGACCCCGGGTGAGATGGATTGATAGAGTAACTGAGGCAAGAGGGGTTGGTGTGCTGGAATCAGTGAAATTGGATCAGGACACAGCAGGCTTCAGAGCTGCTGTACACAGGGTTGCTATGAATTGCAAGCAACCTGACGGCACATAACAACAACAACAACAACAATATACAAACACTATAAAATTAATGATTTTTACTAACTTGAAGTTGCTTTTTACATATGTAAATCCAAGATACACAATACATCCAGTACCCTAGAAATTCTCATGTCTTCTTTCCTAATCTATACCTTTCCCTCACAAGAAGTAAAAAATGTTGAGTTCTGTACTTTCTGTGCCTATCTTTTTATTTTTGTTCAAAAAAATTCTTGTGATAGTCATCCACATTGCTTGTGTGTCAGTAGTTCAACTTTTTAAAATGTCATATGGTTTTTAATTTAGAAACATACCACAATTTATCAATTTTATTTTTGAAGGACATCTGAGCTGTTTCCCAATTTTCTGGTTATTATGAATGCAACTGTAATAAGCATTCTTATTTTGACACTAATTTTTCTTCCATATAGATGTAGAAATGGAAATGCAGGGATTACAAGCCAGTGAAATTCATAAAAATTTTCTAAGTAACTAACATTTTAACAAACACAATCAGGCCTCATGTATAATGTAGTACATATAAAACTAATGAATCAAAACGTAGTTTTATCAATTAACACTTGTGATGACTCTTGGTAGAGAATGTTACCTTCTCCTTGAGTGGTGGGGAGGAGGGACTAGATGCAGGACTGTCAGGTGGGGATGAATCTACCTCCACAGGTTCTTCTTCTTTGATTTTGACTTCTGGTGTGGAAGGCAGAGACATGTCAAGGGGCCCAGTAGCAGCCTGTTAAAGAAGAGAAATGAGCAGAATTCAATCCCATGACTATCTCAAGGTTGAACCTATCTCTTCTCAGTTATAAAATGAAGGAATATGCTTTTAAGAGATTAAGTCTTTGGTTAAAGCACTGAACTACAAGCAAAAGAAATGGAGATCCTCTGTTTTCTATAAAACTCTGGCCAAATAATTTTAACTTTTCTGGGGTTTAGTTTCCCTAACTATAAAATGGAGATAAAATCTACTTAACTAAGAGGGGAAAAAGTAACTTAAATTCATGCAAAATATGATTATATATTTTGATTTATTCCTTCTAAGCGAAGTAAGATGATTTCTTAAGTTCCTGCCTATTCCCAACCAGTGCTGGTGGTGGTTGGAGGGCTAGGAACACTTTGTCTGCCAAACAGAAAGACTATACTATCCAGTTAACAGAAGTAAACAAACTAGCTGTAAAAGTCCTGCAAAAATTATAGTAAAAGTATTTTCTGAGGACTTCCAATGCCTGATAGGAACTTTATTATAAGATCTAGCACAAAAAGCTTGGAGTTTCAGGCAGACAGAGTTTTGGGGAAACAAAAAAAAGGGAAGATAAACAGCTGTTCAGTGAAGAAAATGAGAACTTGATTTCAGGAGCAGGAATGGAGAAAACCAGAGAGGAAAAAGAATACTTTTCTGGTAGTAGTGAAATCAACTCACGGTGGTGCTATAAACAGCGTTGCATGGAACAATAAACCATCTGAGATAATGGCCCAAACAAGGCACTAGGATAGAAAGGAAGATTCATGACAAAGTGGATTCTTTGTTCTATTCTTCTCATAGCTTGGGTTTTTGGTGAAAGAGTTTATTTCCAACTGTTTACTTGCTACTTTAATCCCTAGAAATCTCAGTAGTTGAGTGAACAAACCTGTCTACAATGTTGAATCTGTGTGGTTATGGTTCTTTCTCCCCAATCTGAGAGGAGGAAGTGACAGCAAAGATGTTTTATTTCTGCCTTCAATTTTTCCTCTATACTAAAATATCAGGCACAATTTAGCTAATTCTAGAATCTGCTAAGTCAAAAGAGTAGTAGGGGGAAATGGCCCCTAAGTAAATAGAACCATAGATTTAAAGCCCTTTGGGACATCTCCAAGAAAAGCTGTAGTTCAGGAAAGTTTCAAGCTCACTAAACACTCACTCCTGGAGATGATCTCCTACTGAGTCTTCACCTCTCATCAAGGAAGGGTAAAGGCAAGAAGAAACACCAAAGGATACCAATGTGAACAGGAATGCCAGATATGAACCAGAACAGGAATGCCAGATATGAACCAGAACAGGAATGCCAGATATGAACCAGCCTCCCAGGAGTGTCAAGTGAGCTTAAATAGCAGTGAGAAAGATTTCAAGCCTTTGAGGGGATGCTAACTTTCTTGAATTTGCCTACAATGCATTTGATATAAAATTCCTCAGATTTTGGTTGAAACAAGTGGGTTAATTTCTTTGTTTTGAGGGAGGAAGAAAATGACAGGGGAGATGAGGTAAGGAGGCTGTGAAAGAAAATACTATTTAGATTGTAGCAACTGAGTGATGAGAGACTTTGGTCTCTAAAGGAAAAAAGTAATGAGAGACTGGCTAGTTCTGCCATTTGAAAGCTCTACAAATATATGTCATTGCATTTCTCTACTTTTTGTTAGCTCAGTGTTAGATGAAAAGAAAGAATTCCAAAGATAAGTGCACTTTATCTTGTTTCTTACAATTTAAAGAAAAAAAAAATCACATACAAATGTCATCATTTACCTGTTACCTCCCCATACAAGGAAAGAACTCCACTAGAAAATTTAGTATGTCTCAATTTTTTTCTGTATTTTGATAAGATGCTCTATGTCTCCTTGTACTTATGCAATTATGAGAAACAAACTGTGAATGTACTTATATTTTGGAATATGAACTTGAAATCTTTTCTGAATTATTAAGGAACACAAATAAAAATCGGAAATAATTGTTTAAACCCTTATTCTGATTTGTGAAGAAAATGAAACTTTGATCTTTCCAATTTCCTTCTCCCTACCAGAAATCTTCTAACTCTATGGAGACAATCTTCTTTTGATTCTGCTATTTTCTTCTAGACTAAGGGATTGGCTAAAGGCTAAAATTAGAATTCTAGTACTTCAGGATTATAAAGACGTCTAATGTTCAAATCCACCATATAGTATCTCCACTAAGTAGCCTACCTGTAATTGACCACACAGAGCTTCTTCCTAGTGGTTTTACTTTCAGCTTTGAGTCACACAGAACAGATGTTACCTCACCCCTCTCTTACAACTTTTAAAACATTTGAAGATAGTCTAAAAGTATTATATTTTAGGGCATTATTTTTATCGTAGGAGTATGCAATGAGGGTTG